CACATACTATATAAATGTATTTTAATTGCTTCCCTCTCTCTAGTAGAACATAACCTTCATGGGGGGAGAGATTTTTGTTTCATTTGCTACCATCTCCCTAGTGCCTAGAACAGTGACTGGGACATATCAGGAACACTGTAAATATTTGTTGTGAGACTCCATCATAATTTTTTTTCTCCCACAACTCTAGAAAATCTGCTATTGGTTGTTGAAAGCTTGGTGCTAGCAAATGAAAATACTGCTCAAATCAACGTCACCTAATTTTTAAAAAGTTTCCAAATTTCCCCATTCATCTTCACATCCCAAAAGATTGTACATTTCATTCCCTCATATACACATGATACAGAATGAGAAGAATATCAAGTTTAATAACAATGGTGTTCAGTCATTACATAGAAGTCTGAATTTCTCAAAGTGTGGTTCTGAGACCAGTAAGTGTGAATCCTCAGGGATGGTAGTCCAGGGATCTGAAGGTTGAGCACCTCAGTGACTTAACTGTTTATTACCTGAGAACTAGTACACTCACTCATCTGGTAGTTACTGAGCACATACTTGTTCCAGGCACTGTTCTAGGCCCATGTTCTCAAAGAATTTACATTCTATTAGAGTATGGGGTGGGAAACAAAAAACATAAGAAAACAAAACAATCCCAGTAATTTTAGATAGTGAAAAATGTTATGGTGGCTATAAAACAGATGACAGGGTTAAAAAAAAATGGTGGAAGGTGGAATGGAGGGGATGAGGGATCCAGGAGAGCCTCTCTGCAGGGGTAACATCTGAGCAAAAGCCTGTGGGATGAGGGGTGAGAAGTGGACAGAACATTCCAGGCAGAGGGCCCAAGCAGTGCAGAGGACATAAGGTGGTGACATGTTTGGCTTCACTTCAATGCTAAAGAACACATTTTCTAACACTCAATAAATCAGACTACCCAGCTGAAGGATCAGACATGAGAGGAGTGCATCTAACCCCACAGAGCAGCTATCTGATACATGGGACCACTCAAATACTCATGGGAAAACTGGGGTGAAAAAAAGAAAAAGAAAAAAAAAATCTGTGGGAAGGTGAAAGGCAGCTGGAATCCACAAAGAACCTGCTAGAATATAAACTATGCTTCCTATGGTTATCCAAATATTAATAGCGTAATGATGGAAGTTACCAAAAGGGATATTGGAAATAATATAGATATGTTTTACCTAGGTAATTTAGACTAAGATAAAAATAAACGGATTCTAAATGGGCTAAACGGCCAACTATATACTAAGAACTGTTCAGTCGAGAATGATTTCTAGTGGCAGGCTAAAAGGTTCTAGGTATTTAAAATTTTTTCAGTAGCCACATTAAAAAGGGTGAAATTAGCAAAAATAATTTGGTGTTTCTAATCCCAAGATATTACATATCAACATGTAATCAATATAAAAAGCTAATGAGTTTTGTACATTCTTTTTTATCCATACCCTATCTTCGAAATCAGGTGTGTATTTACACTTATGGTTCCTCTCAATTCACTGTGTACACCAGTAAAAAGATGGACAGAAGTAGCTGCAGAGAAGGAGAGTGTGGCTCCCTGTTGCTAACAACCAGAGAACCCACCAGTGCAATGTGAGGCCTGGGAGTTTCCCACTACAGAAGCACTCCAAGAAAAGAGAAGTAACGATTCATGGATGTTACACAGAAGTGGTTTTACGTACAAGAATGAGAATCTATGATTCTATGAGGAAAAAACACTCACTGGGGTGTGAAGAGATGGACCCAATTTCCTGAGAGAGAGCAGAAAACCTAGCTCCCAAGGGGGAGAACCTCCAAGGAAAAGAACAATGCAAGAAGAACCAGGTAAGAGAAATGGTAAGTCACCGGGTAAATGGCCAAACATAAAGCTACAGGAAACAAATACCAGCATGGTCTTACCTCTTCCATGTAGCTTTATGACTGTATAGCAATCGACCTAAAAACCAGGCATTTCACATTCCTTCAAGATGGGGAGGTGTCCTATAATAAAGAATGTCTGGTTTTTGTCCTGGTTTCCTGGGAGGAAACTTCTTCCATATCCATGAGATTTCAATCATGATAGGAGTGTCTCTGTTATTCATCATTGGCCCTGATGGTTTATGTTAATGAAGTAACTCCTGGTGGGCCCCTAGATAAGTAATGCTAAGCATTCTAGTGAGTTCTAGGAGTTGTTCTAGCACATTATCACACCTGAAGTGGGCCATGGGAAGCCCCATATTTGTAGCCAGTGGGTCAGGGTATGGGTAGCCTGGGGATCCTCCAAACTTGTGGCCAGCATTTGAAATGAGGGCAGTCTTGTAGGGGGATGATGGAAACTCCTGAATTTATAGCGTCTTGGGTCATTGGTACAGGAGGCAGCTGACATCTACAGTGAGGACAATCTTGTTGGGGATCATGCCCTTTTGCTGTGGGGCCTGTGCTAACTGCAGATGGTTAGCACAGAATTTTAATGCAGTATTTTAGAAAGACAAACATACCTGGCAGAACTCTAAATGGCTGCAGAATCAGAGCCCCCTCCTTTTCTGCTAGTGGCCTAACACCACTAGCTCTACTCAACTTTCCCACAAACTCTTCTCCTAAACCCCAGGAAAAACTATAAATGACCACAAAAATCAATGTCAGCTGACATTTATTCCAATTTAAGAGGGAATAGGAATGAAGAGAAAGGAAGTAACAAAACAATCACAATGAAGAGCCTCACTTTTGTTCAAAAAAAGTCCCTCACTTTTTCAGTGTTCATAGTAATACTTAAATCACAAAAGTCATGTGGGGAAGAGAAGCCGTGTCACTGAAGAATAAAGTTCTGCCATGAGTCAAGTATTGGAGCCTTCTACAACACTTTAAAAACTCATTTCCTTTTCAAGCACATATGCAATTATATATCCTAGTATCTCTATTACCATAAATGTAATTTAACTGTTTGGAGAGTGGTACTACAAAGCCTTTACTTGTGCCTCAAGCAATAAAAAGGCTGTGCCATTTAATACATACATAATAAGTATGGAGGGTGATGTGGGGGGGAGGGCACAGAGAGGAAAGAGGTGAGAAAGGGGTCAGAACTGAGTCGTGATAGGGAACACCAAACTCTAAACTCTAAGGGGCCCTTGGTTAGAGATGTTTGGAATTAAATAAAAAGTAGAAGCATGGACAAAGCTCCTGAAGCAAGGTCTCCAGGGCCATCAGGTCCACCAAATGCTTCTCAGTGTTCACTAAATCAGCAAGCTCAAAAGGCACAGTCCTCAGTGCTGGAGGACCTAAAGCAAGTTACTTAACCTCTCTAAGCCTCAATTTCCTTACCTGAGAAAGGTATTATGGAAAATACATTGTATTTGAATATACCTGGTGCACAGCAGGTGCTCACCAAGCATCAGTTGTGTTGGATGAGGATGATAATGCAGGCCCAAATAAAGAGTCCTCCAGCTGCAGTACTGACAAAGGCTGCCCTCTGAGGTTCGGGACCACACTGAGCCCTTTCCCATTCCACTACTGGTACTTGTTACCCCATGCCTTGGGCTGGCTGCATTTGCTCTTGCAGGCACATTTTCTAACATGTAGGCTACTTATAGGAGGTTGGCTTCCTAAAGATAATCTTTGTGTATTTGGAGGTACACCCCATGCTATCATGTGACTCTTGTGAAAAAGATAATGCTTAATGGAGACACAAAATGATATTCTTCTGCTCTTAACTCCAAATGAGAGAATCATTAACTTGAATAGAAGACTGACCTATGTATTCTGTACATAATTAATTCAGGTCAAAATAACATTTAATAGTCAAAGAAAACTACATGTAAAATTCGTAATGCATTTAATGTTATTACTGATGTTTTCCTTGGAACGTTTTAACGGTATTAACCTGGCCTAATGTCACTATAAATCCAAATGCACAAGAAACACATTTTACATAAAAGGCCCATTTTCTGTTCTTACGTAGTAAGCAAATTACCAAATGGTCTATGGAATATCTTTTCCAAATATTAGATATTTTACGTTAAGGTTACAAAATCAAATAACTTCGGTATGTGTTTACTATACATGTCAATTTTTAAAGATAAAATAATAATGAATAAGTTGAACAATAATATAATTTCACTTATTAAAGGCAGGACCAAGTCTAACTTACCTGGATATTAAATAGCAATTCACCTCTCTTTTTTCTTGTCACCTTACAAAACAAGCACTTATATGAAGATTTTTACTGTTCAACCATATCTAATTAACAGCATGTTTCTTCAATTTTAAAATAAGATGAATGGGGGCGCCTGGGTGGCGCAGTCGGTTAAGCGTCCGACTTCAGCCAGGTCACGATCTCGCGGTCCGTGGGTTCGAGCCCCGCGTCAGGCTCTGGGCTGATGGCTCAGAGCCTGGAGCCTGTTTCCGATTCTGTGTCTCCCTCTCTCTCTGCCCCTCCCCCGTTCATGCTCTGTCTCTCTCTGTCCCAAAAATAAATAAAAGTTGAAAAAAAAAAATAATAAAATAAAATAAGATGAATGGACTGAGTCCATGTCTCAGGCAAAAAATTAAGCACTCGACATACATCATCTCTATTAGATTTAGACCTCAAAATAATCCCAAGAGTTATCAATAGTAACCTCATCTTACAGAAAAGAAATGGGAACTGAAAAAGGTTAGGTAATTTGCCAGGATGCAGCCTAGGATATAAGCCATGAAATTTCTCCAACTTCTAGACACGACGTCCTTCTTACAGGGTCTTTTGAGTTCAGGTAGGTAATTATCTTTATTTGCATTAACATTAAGTGGAGATGTTAAGTTTCTAGGATAGGGACTATCTATATTTAACAATGTACAGAATTAATGTAAACTGACCAAAATGGTAGTTTGGGATGGATGTTAAGTAATAATAAAAGACTTTCATTTTATACAGATTGTGTATTACATGAGCTTCCTAAAATTTTTAGCTGAGTAAATAATGTGATTAAAAATCACTACACTTCACCAAGTTACACAGTTAATGAAACTGATAATACACTTACCTCAATCAATTTGTTGGCATGTTCACGGAAAACTTGAGCATATTCCTTAACTTCTTTCTCATTTCCATTCTTTGCAGCTTCAATCAATACTAAAAGTGGAACGTTGGTTTCCAGGAATGAATCTGAAACATGGTCCATGACGGCTTTGCGTAGCTAAGAATTAAATTGTAAAAATTTGATTTTATTTCTACTAAGAAACTAGACTGCTTTTTTCTCTGGTACTTTTAAATCTTAGTGGAAGCTCATGATAGCCTGGCTGCACTTATATGAGGATCCCTCATGTAAGCCATGAAGTTATATAACATGGGACAGAGGAAACATGATCCTAAAGTAATGCTTATACTATAGTTATAGCATTTTAACAACAAAATCTTAAATTTCAAGATAATATCCCCCTTTTGGGGAGAATTAACAAAACTAAAACTTTTTTCTTAAAGGAATAGTACAAAGCTGAACAGAAAACAGCTCTGGATTGAATTGATACATATAGCCTTGGAACATATGCAATTATATTCCTAACTAAAAGTGAAAAGAGAGGATTAAGTACTTTCTGGCTTATCTGAACAGGGTTAGCACACTATGAACCTTAAACCTATTAACGGTTATCTTTATAACCGTTTAAGATATGACTTCACTAGAAGAAAAACAAAGACACATTCCATCTTTGCTTTTTATCAGACATGAACAATAAAATGTCTATTAAGTCTGGAAACTATTATTACTACAATTTTTTTTTTTTTTAAAGTAGGCTTCATGCCCAGCGTGGATCCCAATGAGGGAGTTGAATTCATGACCCTGAGATCAAGACCTGAGATGAGATCAAGAGTCGATCACTTAACCGACTAAGCCACCCAGGCACCCCACTGCAACTTCTTTTTAAGTCTTAATAACTAATTTGATCACATTAGTAATAAAATTACTAATTTTATCACATTATGCATACAAATAATACATTTATCACATACATAATACATTTGATTTAACAAACGAAGAGATTCTTTCCTCTGTATTTACTAACTTGGAAAACTGAGCAACCCAAACATCTTTATCACCACCTATTTATACTGGAAGCACATCTTCACCAAGGATCTAAGGGAACTTCAAGTGTGTAATCAGAACGGGGCAAGTCAAATAACAGCAATTTCTGTCTCTCCTGTATGTAATCTAGTACCACAAGATCCTTCAGGGTATTTTCACAGGTCCCCAAGTCGTTTGAAATTCATTTTCTTACCTGTACATCCTTTTCACACTAAAGCTAATTGATTCAGTCCATCCCAGTGGGACTCCATTATTCCAGGTCCCCAAGAGATTTTATTAGCTAGTTAGAACCTTATTAGCTACCAAATAGAGATAGGCAGTTTCCTGTGACAAACCATCCTTTTACCCCAGTAAAATATATGGGCCAAATACTTCCTAGAATTTTAACCAAAACTACAAAACTGATAACTTAGGAAAGCAATTGACACGTTTTTTCCCAGCTTACCTGTCTACGCAAGTCTCTAGTCTTCTTAGTCATTTTATCTATGGCAGAATTGAGTGCATCACTTCTTTCTTTACGTCCAGCCTGGAAAATAAGAAAATTACAGCTGATAGCTATTCTTGCTCAAATCAACATTTGTTTGTTTAACATTTATTTATTTTTGAGAGACAGAGACAGAGTGCGAGCAGGGGAGGGGCAGAGGGAGAGGGAGACACAGAATCCTAAGCAGGCTCCAGGCTCTGAGCTGTCAGCACAGAGCCCGACGCGGGGCTCAAACCCACAAACCATGAGATCACGACCTGACCCGAAGTCAGACGCTCAACCGACTGAGGCACCCAGGTGCCCCAAACCAACTTTTTTTTTTTAAGGCAATTTCTTGGGGCGCCTGGGTGGTTCTTCGGCTGAGCATCTGACTTCGGCTGGGGTCATGATCTCGTGGTCCGTGAGTTCGAGCCCCACGTCGGGCTCTGTGCTGATAGCTTGGAGCCTGGAGCCTGCTTCAGATTCTGTGTCTCCCTCTCTCTCTGCTCCTCTCCCACTCATGCTGTCTCTCTCTCTCTCTCTCTCTCTCTCTCTCTCAAAAATAAACACTAAAAAAATTTTTTTTTAAAATACAATAAAAAGTAAATAAAAAGGCAATTTTTTTTAGCCCAAAGTTGGGAAATAAATGCGGGCACGGCAGGGGAGAACCATGTGACTTTGTTCATAAAAACCTAACCTTACAATTCTTAGGCTCCACATTATCTGATGGTGAGAATTGATGGAGTTTTAACCAAAATAAAAGAATCCAGGAGATATGACTTTCACTTAAATGCTTCTGCTTGAAAAATTAAACTTAATATTTTAATTCAAGGTTCAGCATACACCAATTTCATTAAAGAACCAGCTCTCCTTGAACTTCAAGCAAGAAGAGATTACACCTGATTTTGATGAACTGTGAGATTTGAACAATGTTAAAATGTGAAAAATGGCACCTGGGACCAAAACAATGTGAAACAATGAATTTTAAAGTTAAGATGTACCATGATGGGTCAGAGTAAATAATGTATATTATGTAGCTCGAACAAGAATGCTTTGTAAGATTTCTTCAGCCATATATTTTTAAGTTCTAGGCTGAGCTTAATCCAATTGTATTGCACAGAAAGAATGTATTAGTCACTCTGAGACAGTTATGTAAATGGGCATTGCTCCAGGGTTCAGGAGGTTGAGATTTGCATCCGGGAACATTTTAAGCAGTACCAAAATAGATAGTAGCTGGAAGAAAAGGAAATAAAGTTAAGTTACCCCAGGGAGGACTAGCCACGTGCTTGGAAATACCTTGGTAAGACATCAGGTGAGTCAGACTATAAAGTATATTAAAAGTTTTTCCTTACTAAATACCCAGCCAACCAATGTGAAATAAAACATGTAGTAATCACAAGATAGATACAAATGGACAAAGGAATCTAACCCAATGTTCTACTTTTGGGTGTCCTCAAGGCATTCTGGTATAGATATGCCATCAGTACACAAGCCAGCACAGCAGGTGAATAGTTGGGATGGAGAGATGTGGTTTCATATTTTCTCAGTGCCTTTTATGTACATTTCTAACTCATTTTCTCTCTTATCCCACATCTATTAAATGGGGAAAATGACACTTGTCCCTCTGCCCCTATCTCCATTGGTTGTAAGAAGAGAAAACAGAAGAAATGTTAAGAAATATAGGCTATTTAGCAGAGGACAAAAAGATGACAAGACGGGATTTTAGGAATACAGAGAGTTGAAATACAAGTGCTAAATTAGTACGTTCACTATCAAATCTGGTTAGGGTCATATCCATTATCTTTTCCCCCAATAGTTCTGTATTGCCAATAAAGTTAAGTAGTTCAGTAATATTAATAAGTAAAAAAAAAAAACCGGGGGGGGGGGGAATCTCAACATAACTGATTGAAATATGAGAATTTCTACCTGCAGGAATAAACTGTGATTTACTCATAGCCTTCAGTCAGAAAATAACTTGACAAATATAATTAGTTACAATCTCAAAGATCAAAAGAGCAGGATCTAAGGCAAAGGTGACTAAAACTGAATTTTTTAAAAATCAAATTGACCTCATAACTAATGCCTTAATGAGGAAAGTCTCAGTACATTCCTTAGACACACAAGTGCACACTTCAAGAAAACTTCTCCCAGTCATGTTTGTCGTTTTTCCTAGCCACATTTTAGGATGTTTCTAGTAGATCATTTATTCCAGAAAACATTGGCTATCTAAAACCCAAAGGATGGGCTAAATGACCTCATGAAAACTCCAACCCCTTGTAACCTCGAATCCCCAGAAATTTCCTCAATTTGTGCAGAAGGGTTTACTCTGCAAGTTACATAAAGCAAATCCTCAAACTTGATTTGAGGGGATTTACAGCCAACAGCAAAATTTACTTTAAGATGGAACCCAGACTATGAATCTGTTAAATCTGTACTTGTCAAACTACCTTAAAAATCTATTTGTCTTTCTTGTTACTGTAGGAAATAAAAGTTTATGCCTCATTGATCAGGAAGGGACAGTTCAGAAGCAGTTATTTACTGAAGCTTTTAGCTTATACTAGACAGACCACCTTTTAAATCAAAACCCCTCTAACACACACACTCGCACGCGCGCTCAACTTTAGAATTCCAATCATTTAAAATAGGGGTAAGTACACATGCATCTACACACTTACAACCTTAAAAATGAGCTTGATGAAATTGGAAAGGTTGCTTATTTGTAAAACAAGATTTTACTTCTCTTTGAAATTAAAAGTCTTAGGATCTTTTAATTCTAGTTTTAGCTATGTCAAAGTAAAGGTGCTCATTTAACCTTTAAAGTAAATGATTCTCAACTCCTACCTACCTAATTGAGAGACTCTATTCCATCTAAGCAGAGAGGCTACCTAGGTTCATTCACATTTGATATATTTGTCCTGCTAACCAGTGACAAAAGGGCTTTCTGAAAAAAATATTAGGCATATTTGGGGTTTCAACATATAGGTTCTCCTCAGCAAGTTAATAGCAGCTGAAATGAGGAGAGAAACTTCTTAGCTAGATGGCTTCTAGCAACATAGTTCTAGCTGGGACAGCAAAAGGGCTTTCAAAATCCATCTTCAACAGAAGCATAAAGAAGCCACTCCACCTGCCTTTTGCGTGGCCAAATAATAAATTCTATTTATTTAGACACACTTTTTACAGAGCACCTACTTTGCATCCACTGGAGTAGGCAGGACTAGCCACAATCCTTCTTTCAGAAAGTTTACAATCTGAGCTAAAATAATTCAGAACAACATATAATTTAGCAATACTCTGTATTGTGCTGGGCCTGGTAGGAGTTCTAAATGAATTAACAGTGGGTCAGAGTAATAAGGGGAAGTTATGCACAAGATTAAAGTCAGGCACTGATTTTTTTTTAATTATTAATAACTGAACTTTTCAGGAGGATTTTACCCCATTTTTGGTGGTAACCTGTGAAAAAACAAGCATTTTTTTTCTTCCAAAGACCAGACCCTTGCCTCACAAAGAGTAATCTTTTCTCCTATAACAAATTTACAACTCCCCCCAAACCACTCCTACCTTTGCCAAAGATGACACTATCGCACTGTTGTGACTGGTGCATTAGTCCACAATTATTCACCCATACCCTACAACCTCTCAACTCGAGTTCTAGTTGGGCTCTAGCCCAACTCTTCCCATTCGGGAAGGTATGAAATGTGTCCCTGGCACAGCTGGCGGCATCTCAAGGTACATTTTAATCCCTAGAAATAATGTGACAAATGTTCCCAGGTGAGCCTACAAAAGCCTACTCAACCTAAAAAGTAACAGTACAAAATAAACAGCACTTCCAGGGAAAAATAGAGTGAAAACTTTTACAGTGCTTCCAGTGAATGAATCTATGGCACCATTCCACCAAATCCTGGGAGATCAGAACCAAATGTGAACTATTCCTTTATCTTTCTGGAGAAAAATATGACAAAATCCAGGATGGGGAAAAGTTAGCCAATACGAAAACAGTCCAGCACAAACTGATGCATGTAGCTGAGATATTCTAATCTCTTTTTTCTTAAAACAGATGCTAATACTTACACATTAAATAGCTGCTGTAAGTTAGAAAGTTAACAGAAGTACAAACAAGTATTTAAAGCAAACAAATACAAAAACTAAGTATATGAAAGTCGTAAAATAAGGCCTTAATTTTGAAACTATTAATAACCCAGAAAAAAAGAATAAGATGACCCAACTGTGAGGATATTTCAGAAGGATTTTAAAATGCTCATTATCTGGGAATATCAGGCTAAGAACTGTTGATAAATCATGGAACTGTTCTGATTTCTATGTTGATTAACAACAATTAAAAAACCTTCTAAAGGGCTCTGATCTTCTTTGCCCTACTTAATTAAGATAATGTGTTAACAGGGAATCTTTGTTTACTGACAATTTTACAACATCTCATGCTCATCCAACAGGTACTGGATCTTGAACATAATATGTCAAGGGTGTGTTTGCTTTATTTAATATAAGGAAGATTCTCATCAGTTTTGCCATTCATTAAAATTACCTATAGGGGCGCCTGGGTGGCTCAGTCAGTTAAGCGTCCGGCTTGGGCTCAGGTCATGATCTCACAGTCCGTGAGTTCGAGCCCCGCATCGGGCTCTGTGCTGACAGCTCAGAGCTTGGAGCCTGCTTCAGATTCTGTGTCTCCCTCTCTCTCTGACCCTCCCCCGTTCATGCTCTGTCTCTCTCTGTCTCAAAAATAAATAAAACATACATACATACATACATAAAAATAAAATTACCTATATAAAGACTTTTAAAAGGCAGTAAGTGGAAGAAATACTTATAAAATATCTGGGAAAAAAATAATTTCTTTAATAAAAGAACAGTTTACAAATCTTTAAGAAAATGACCAATTTCAAGTGAGAATGAGCAAATGAAATACACAGTCCACATGAAGGAACAAAATGACAATACACCTATATACAACATGGTACTCATTGTTACTCATAAGAGAAACAAAGAAAAGAAAGCTTTTTTTACCTATTAGATTCACAGGTATTTTACAATATGTTGTGGGGGTGGGG